GGGGGGGGGGGAGGGGGAAACAAAGTTTGTTTTGTCAATGTTCAATAACTTTGTAATATTGGCTGGAATGATCTCAAGGCTTTTGTCCATGATTGTAGCCATAGCCACGGGTCATGTTATGCAAATGTTTAATGATTTGCATTATTCAAACCCTTATGGCTGGTTTACACTATCCGAAAGTTTCGATGAACACAGCAGGAATTTTGCATAGGTAAATTCTACGTTTGGAAGAAAATCTGACAATCTGTAAGAATTGTTTGAGCTAGGCAACTGACTCAGTGTTAAACACTAAAGCCCTTAGCAAACTATAGGAAACATTGTTGTGGAAGCATTTGTGATTATCGATGTTTCTTAGCTCTTCTTCATATGTTTCCCTGTTTGCCCACCCGTGGAAACATTGTTGCGGAAACAAAATCTGCTTCCCGAGAAGCAAAAATGTTTCCTAGCAAATTCAGAAACATTTGATGTTTCCTTATGTTTCTCACAATGTTTCTATAGTGTTTGCCCACTCTGGGAAACATGCATGGCGATACATTGGCAGAAAACAATGTGTCTGCAACAATGTTTCCTAGTTTGTCCAGGTCTTTAGTCAGTTCCCTCGAACATTTCTTACAAATCCTTCAAGGCTTAGAATTTACCTATGCTTAAAAAATCATTAATAATAATAATTCATGAGGGAACGACAAAGGAAATCACTGCCGCATGTCGGTGGTTTTGTATATGATCAAAAATCATGTTCACATTTACATAAACTTTAGCTTTGATTTTCTCGGCTTGGACAACGTTTATTTTTAAAATTACTTCGCCAATCCGTGCTTTTATCAGATACATACATGATGACGACTGAATCTTAGTCGAAAGCTAGAATATTAAAATGTTTATTTTCGGAGTTACCGTTGTTTTATGTACTATTTAAAAAACGAGCAGGAGTGTTTTATTAGGTTTAAAGCCACGAGCGCGCAGCGCGAGTGGCTTTAGACCTAACTGATAAAACACGACTTCAATAAAACATGGCTTCAAAAGCGTATGCATAATAAGTCAAATCTTTATATAAAAATCTTTATATAAAAACCTTTATATAGTTTGCATAACAATGGTCTTTTGTTAAAGTGTTCTTTAGCTGGTATAATGACGTATGCACGTGACTAATTTCTTACTCAAGATTGGATAATTGGTTCATGAATTATTAATGAGTTTTTGAAGTACTATTTAAAGCACGCGTAGGAGTGTTTTATCACATATAAAACGCGAGGCGTAGCCGAGCGTTTTATATGTGATAAAACACGACTACAAGTGCTTTAAATGGCTTAAAAAACTACTCATCTTATACGAGTTTATTGGCGAAGTAATTTTTAAAATAAACTTTGTCTAAACCGAGAAAATCAAAGCTAAAGTTTATGTAAATTAACATGATTTTTTATCACATATAAAACCACGACACGCTTATGATTTTTCTTTGTGTTTTGCTCCTGAATTATTAATGAGTTTTTTAAATTTTATTAAAACACTCAGTGGTTCCCGTAATTTTTGATAAAGCACTCCTGCCATAGATATCTTATATACTGTACACTAGATAGTGTATCTAATTATTCTGCAATTCAAACATTGAAGCCGTGATTGCAGTCTCAGGTCGTTCCCATGAAATGAGAAGATTCGTACGTTTTCTATTTCTTAAACAGGGAACTTAAACATTAAGTTAACCCTATTGCAAATACGTTTTTAAACTATTCAAATGATGAAAGTTATTGTTGTTTTTAAGCGTTTATTAGCAAGTGGGAACGACCAACATGGCCGCCATCTATTCATGGCCAGAAATTCAGGACATGCGCCCGCAATATATCTCAGCGGTTTTTCCTCTGAAAAGTTATTCATACCTAACACACGCAAGTTTTAACTAAAAAAATACATTTTGCTTAGTTTTTTGTTTAACTAAAGCAGGAAAATAGATTTTATAGGTACTGTCGGCCTTTTACATACCTTTCATTTATTATGATGGGATATAAAGTGATGCGCATGGTAAACGACTCAAATATTTTGTGTATACATCGCTATCCCTCTGTGTAACCCGCACTGGAAGAAAGCCTGGTTCCTAAGCTTCTTGTTGATATCAAACATGGACGACAATTCATTAAACATCGTTCTTCTTGCAATGTTTTACGGTCTATGGACAGGGTATTTATGGGTAAAATATCAACATTTTGTCCCGTAAATTGGAACAAGTTAAAAAATTCGTATCACTATGAAATTATGTAGACAAGCAGGGGACAACATATATTTTTCGACGCGAAG